TTCTCCATCCACAGGATTGCCATGTGATTGAAGAATGAAGCTGATGCTGCTGCCTTGATGGCCCAGGCCTGGGTTGCTTCGTGCGCTCTCCTCTGCTCCACGGCGCACTCACCGTTCAGAAAAAGGTCCTTCGCACTCTTCCCAGCTCTCCGTGCTCTCCGCGGCTCGAATCCAGCCGCCGAAGCTGTTTCCAGTCAGTTGGTGCGATGGGGGGGGGGGCTGTGGGCTGGGAATCCCTAGCCTCTAGCCTCCTGATCACCAGGGATCGGCACCACATGCTTGGCTAAGCCGGAAATGGCTGCCGCGACCTCAGCACTCTCTCCAATCCCAAGGATACAAAATAACGCTCCTTGGTGGTTAGGAAGGAAAACCACTTAGAACTACTTACAGGCTAGAGCAGAGAGATAACTACGGTGTCTGCATAGGCAAGGAGGTTCCAATAGAGATAGAAATTACAGGAGAAGTTAAAAATATGACTTGTTCTTTGGCTGGACTGAGATGCAGAGGAGAAGAAAGGGTGGAGCACAGAGGCGTGTCTTCAGCTTCATCCCAGTCTCGTGGCCAAATGGGCCTGTCAATACCATCCACTGGAGCCTCCTGTTCCTTGATCTGGAAAATTAGAGGCAGAAAGGAAGGGAGGAGAGAGACAGACACACATAGAGAGACAGAGATGGGAGGGAGGAGAGAGACAAAGAGCCACACACACAGAAAGAGACAGAGAGAGATAGAGAGGGGGGGAAGGAAGACTTGGTGGCTGTTTTGTTTTTTCTTTCCTTTTTTTCTTTTTAAAAGAAAGGCACTGTTTCCACTTAGAGCCGGGAGCCTGCTCTTAAACTTCCCAGACAAAATTTCATTTATTTGTAATTAGAAATAAATATTTCACAATATATAATTATATATTGTTTTTGTGATTAATCACTATGTTTTAATTATGTTCAATTTATAACAATAAAAATACATCCTGCATATCAGATACTTACATTACGATTCATAACAGTAGCAAAATTACAGTTATAGAGTAGCAACGAAAATAATTTTATGGTTGGGGGTCACCACAACATGAGGGACTGTATTAAAGGGTCGCGGCATTAGGAACGTTGAGAACCACTGATATAGAGGATGTACTAACAAGCAGGTCTTATAGACAATTATGTAAATTTACAATAAATTATCTGATTGGCTGCTGTTTTTCTTCTAAATTCTTTTTTATTCACTTGATGCATGATCTTTAAACATTGCTTTGCACAGTAGCATTTTCTCTGGAAACATAAATAAAATGTATTGTAATTGGTCACAGAACCAGGCTTTTAATACATCTCACACATGAACAAAATCAATTTCAGTTTTTGAAACTATGCAATAGCCATATTAAACATACTTTACATGTAAAAGAAATCCCAACAAACTAGTACTATTAAATATTATGTCTGTGCAACCAAAGAGACAAGGTGCACATGTGCATGACATAGCATATGCCAGTCATTCCTTAAACAAGCTGTGCTTTCTCCATGGACTGAGCATTCAGGAATCCAAATTAAATCCAGATATTTACATATTCACAATACATACAATTGCTATAAATCCTATATGAGCATGAATGCACATTTCTTCTATTGCCACATATCTAATTTATCTACATCCTGCAACCACTCAAATATATGTTTCCACAAAAATATCTCATTGCTGTTTCTATCCCATACTTTGCATTCTACAAATCCAGCTTCTCGGTAAATCACTTTTTTGTCTTTCAGATCATTTCACACTATGATGCCTTGCTGTCTAAGCTTATCCAGCAGCAATAGTTTTGCTGCACTGAAAAGCACTCAAAGTCTGGTCTTAATCTACTTATTCCTGGTATTATAGTTCCTGCGATTGGACTCATGAACTTCCTGAAAGAAGATTCAGCTAAGTTGAATCATCTGTTTACAATGACACTCCACTTTTTATGCATGTTAAATAAGTCAGTTTCTCAATAAGAAATTTGTCTCTCCATTGATATTGATACAAAATTGAATTTAATTAAAATATATTGTTGATAATTTTTTAACTTTGTTTTCTACTCACCTTTATTATTTTTGCAATTAACTCATGGCATTGAACATATCCCTACAAATAATTTTAAGGACATAACATAAAAATTAAAATATCAAAATACCTTACCAATGTAGTTCTCTTAATTATTATTGCTATTATGATTGGCCTCTCAGATTGTATTTATGCACATTAACCTTAGCATTAAACCACTGACTTTGTATTCTGGTCCATTAATTACAATTATTTTATTTTCTGTTGCATATCAAGTGAAAATAATAATTCACATATTCTAAAGGAGAAGGTTATAATGAAATCTTACATTCCAATTCTATTTAATAAAGAATTTCAAAATACCTACTAGAGCTTAATGAAAAGAAAAACAAACTAGGTAGGTTTCTTATTTTTCTTTTATCAAGAGACAGTTTTATTATAACGTACATTATAACTCTTTAAAGCATTTAACACAAAACCAATATCTATTTTTGTTTCTATGTTCTCATATGCTTCAATCGCTTTCTTCTCCTCAAATAGCTCTCTAAAGTAAGTGCCTAATAGAAAGTAATTTTGCAATGTAATTAATTTTGCAAGGTCTTCTATTACCTTTAGACTGGAACAAGAGGCTAACAATAGACTTCAGCAAGAAACACACTATTTTAATTCTTTAGAGCGCTATCTTGGCATTCTGCCTCAAGATGACTTTAGCAACCATGCAAAAGTTGCAAATTAAATTAGACACTGTAATGGATTGAAATATTCCTTAAATAAGGGCTACGTTTCTATTTCAAGGTCTAATATGAAATGCTGGTTTAGAGGTTTAGCAATGTAATCTTATTATTCAGAAATAAGTACACCAAGAGGTTATTTCCAAATAAGATTTAGAATTGCAACATAAATTATAAATGACTTGAATTCATAGTATCTCAACATTGGATATTGAGAAATGTTATTTCTAAAACTATATATTATGTGTTGCTGTTATTGTATTGTTAATTTAAATTTTATTTCCAAATATTTACTTCATCTCTTCCCTTAAACTCTATGACTAGTTGTTTTGCATTTAGTCATCAATACTTTGCATTATTCTATCTCCCTTTAATCAGGCAAATAAAAGACATAATTAAGCAGTTCCTTTTTCTAATGTTATAGATTTTTTGATTTTTTAAATATTAAAATCACCACCATAAATTTGATTAGGAGATAATAAATTTCTACCACTATGTATTTTGGTCTATTGTTCAGTAACAGAATTTGTAATTCTATTCATCCATATTAGTGTAACTGAGGTGGTCCTCTACATAGTGTTACACCAAACTCTGCCTTATGTAATTTCTAATCTTATATTCTTTACTCATAATAAATTAAGCAGAAACATATAAAAGAACGCCTTTGGTATTCAGAAATTTCAAAGTAACTTTAGAAAATAATAAAGTATTGCAATCAACATTTTGTTGGAAACTATATCAAGAAAAAAAAGGATAATGCTAATAAACTAAAATAAAGTCATTCTAGTAAAGATGAATTGAAGAGCATATTCCTTGATAAATGTTTTTAACAAGCTGTACACATCAAGACTTGGTGATTAGCAACTCCTTATCTATATAACTGTTGCACCTAAATTACAATTCTATCTATCTATTAAGATTTATGGATTATTACAGCTATGGTCTTCAAAAATGCAGCATGACCAGCAATAGAAAATATTTTTTATACACTCTATATCCAGAAACAATTGTTTCTCAAAGATTATTATCACTACCGGTAACTAGAACTTTGAATTATTTATGAAATAAATAAATACACACACACACACACAGAGACACTCTTAATCCTACTGGCATTTTTATAATACATAAAAACACATTTACATAAAAAAAGAAAATAATCTACTAATATAACATCGTTTTGTTTTCCACTGAAAACTTCAATACTGCAGAGAAAAAATCCAGTCTTGTTGAAAATTAACAAACTTGATATATTTTTACATTTATTACAGTCATTAACTATATGAAAACTGATTCCAATGAGGAATAATTGATTTCCGTGCAGTAATCATTTATAAATCACATGATTCTTGTTTGTTTGTGATTATCTTTTATCTGTTGTTTACAACTGAAGGTTTATGTGGATTTTGCCACCAGCTGCTTGCCAAAACAGACTGCGGTGAAGAATAAAACCTATGGTTTTAGGTATTATATACAATTAGCAGGTTTGAAAGGCTAAGCTGATCTGCAGTCAAAAGATTATCACTCTGCACTAGTTTTGTCATTGGTTGCTAACAAACAGATGAGAAGAATTGTTTAATAAATCCACTTTGCCTTTTTTCCAACTCCCAAGTAAACTCAGCCGGGGTCACCTAATAAAATGCTCAAATAAAAAAAACATGTTATGATTAAAAAAAAGGCGGAACGATCGGGTTTGTCCGATTCTTCCCCAATGCAGCCGAAATACAAACCGTCTCGCTCTCAGGAACGGAATTTGACGGGATTCCAAGCAAGGGGCAGAGTAAGGGGCGCCTACTTGCTGAGACCTTTCGGCAGTGCACACGGCCTAAATTCCCGTGTTGGTTAATCCGCAAATCTACAAATCCTTTGCTTTGTACGTGACCTTTCTCCAATGTAACCTCTCCAAGACAGCGCTCCGCTTCAAAACTCCCAAATTACGCAGTTTACGTAATTCCTCACCAATCCAGATTAGCCCGATAACCCGCCCACCCTTCCCCCAAGTTTGGTTCGGGACCCGGTTTAAGTCCAATCTCATGACAACCCACCCCCCACCAAGGCTAGATACACAGGTTCTGTCTGTTCACCCCTCAATACCTAAGTTTCGTTTCCAAATACCTTCCGCGGGCCGAGTGTTTACATTCACGCCCTTCCACCCTTCTTCTCCAACTGCGGTGGGGAGCGCTAGCGTATTACCACACGCAACCAACGAAGCCCGCATAGTACCATTAAATCTCTACAACCTACCTTTCGATCAACACGCCTTTAAGAAAGAGACGAGAGAGGCCTCTTACCCAGGAAGACGTCGGAGAGTTTAGTACCTGCACCAGCCCGCAACGGCCATTACGTCTCACAGACCGGCCTTCACGAATCACTTCCGCCTCTCCACAGCCCGCCTCTTCTCAGCAGATTCAATGCGCGTAAAAGGTCCGCAGCGACTCCGCCTATCTGGGCATTCCGACTTTGACGTTTCTGGTGTGTCGAATCGAAATAGAATCTGCTCGTTGCGTATTCTCGGAATTGCTCCTTCGAGTCCCTTAGACAAGATCTGTGTTCTCTGCTATGACGAACGTACCCAGAGATCACGAAGCCGCAAAGAAGCTTTGGAATATGTGACTATAACCGTATGAATAATAAAGCAAAACACCAAATAGACACACGCTGTTTAGAAAACAAAATCTATTAAGTGTTCCTTAAACTCTCATTCCTACCTGAACCATCCAGGAAGCCGGATTGTTATTCAGTATTTTTTTATTATTATTATTTGTGGATAAGAAAGTTCAGAGTCCTGTGAAAGGGGTTAATTAAAGATCTTGTACTTTGAAACAAAGTAACGAGTTTTCTTTTAAAAAACATTTTAAAACCATAATACCCTTGTTAATAATTGAACGTTGACTATTAAACTGAGGGAAACTAGTTTACTCGCATTTTTTCTAGTGTCTAGTGGATATTTGAAGTGTTTTATATTTTAACGATGTAAAACTATATGTGTTCCATTATACAGTTTGGATTGAAACTATGGGTGGCCATTATCTGGCTTTAGTACAATTGAAGCTTTTTAGAGACATGTTTAATTTGGCCAAATGTTAAGGATTATTATAGCCTGAAAAAGAGAAAACATGTTTCTCAATTTCTTTGAGAAATATAATATTCTGCCTTTTTAAATATTTCTTAAAATATTTCATTATTCTAGAAGAGAGGTGGGTGCTAACTTTCTACAGTACCTCACATGGCCTAGTTCCAAGCCATATAGGTGACAACCAGCACCCAGAATTGCACCTGGAAACATACTGGCAACTAAGGCAGCTTACACAGTACGGGTGTTACCTGTGCCTTATATCTACAGTAGTACTATTTACTATCCATGCTGCTGCATTCTGCGCTAATTGAATTTTCAGAATGCTCTTCAGAGGTAGCGCAATGTAGACATGGTGCAGTAGTCTACGTGAGAGATTACAAGAGCATGACTCAGTTTGAGCAGGGCCTTCCATTCCAAGAATGGGCACAACTAGAGGTGTTCAGAAGGTCTTCTCACCATGGCTGCCACCTGCTCTTCAAATAGGAACCATGAGTCTACGAAGACAGATTCTGCTCTAGCCTTTCTGGAGTAATGCAACTCCATCTAGAACTAAAGAAGATATAAAACTGGATGGCATCTGCATATTGATGATATCTCACCCCAAACTGATAAGTCATCTCACCCAGGGCTTTCGTATAAATTTTATATAGAAGGGGAGTGAGGGAGGAATGGCTTTTTTTCCTACCCATGATTATTCTGTTTTATTTGGGAAATGAAATACCTCTGAAACAACTTAATTGGGCACAGGTCAGGGGTGAATTCCTGCCAATTCTAACCTCTTCTATAGAAGAGGTTCCACAAATCTACAGTGCCGTTTAGAACTGGTTCCAGTTGCCTTCCCCTCGCTCGTCCGCACATCATCAAGATGAAGAGCGAGAGGAGGAATTCTGGGAGTTGAAGTCCACAAGTCTTAAAGCTGTCAAATTTGAACACCCCTGGGATTTTATTCTAAAGGGTTAGGGGTCTTGTAACTTGACAGATTTAAGACTTGCGTGCTTCAAATGCCAGAGTTTCTGAGCCAACATTTTGGTTGCTAAGCAAGAGTGTTGTTAAGTGAGTTTCACCACATTTTNAGTGTTGTTAAGTGAGTTTCACCACATTTTACAAGTTGGCCACGCCCACCCAGTCACATGGCTGGCAAGCCACTCCCACCCAGTCATATGGCTGGCAAGCCACTCCCACCCAGTTACATGGCCGGCAAGCCACTCCCACAAAGCAGGCCACACCCACAGAAGAGGTTCTAAAAAAAATTGGAACCCACCACTGGCACAGGTTGTCTAGTATGAAAACAAAAATAATAGGTTAATCCCAGTATGTAGAGTAAATGTAATCTTCAAAATACATAAAAATTACATTTTCTGAAAATAAACTCTTCTTTTTTTTTGAACTGCTTTTTATTTTTCTGGGAATTTATATTTTAATCTCTGTATTGATACATTTTCTATAACAAATTCTACCTTAACAACTCTGTATTTCACGAAAGCATTCATAAAGACACACAAGAAAAAATGCTGATTTTAGTACATTTAATGGTTCATTTTCCAAACTCATTTTTACAAAGAGCACTTGCAATTTTATGCACATTGATATTGAAGTAAAGCCTAGTAATTCTGAAGATTGATATACAGTATTTAAAATGTCAAAACCTTAACAATCAGGTTTTTAAACCTTTGGACTGGTTAGTATCTCATATAATATTTTGCAATAGCTCAAATTCAAGCAATGCTTAGTATATTTTCATTTCTTAGTACACTTTCATTCATTTCAGAGGAATGTTGTTAAGCAAGTTAATGTGAATGCTTGGAGGAAATATCTAAAGTCATACTATCCTAGAGCCAAATGTTATTAACCCCAAGAAAATATTGCCATTTATCTATCATGGAAAAAGTAGCACTAAAATGTACATCATTGCTTTGCATCACAGGCTCATTATTTACCCACAAAGATGCAGCTTTATAAATTATAGTCTATATCCAATAGGGATTGTTCCATTGACTGAAAAGTCTGTTCATATTATAGACAATGATCTATGTTCATGACTGGCTCTTCTTCCTTGTCTTCAGGATTGGCTCTTCCTTGTTATCCTTCTTTTTATCTCTCAGAGAGGTATTCAAGACCCCAAAAGCTAATTCTTAGGGCAGAGTGCAGTCACTGAAAACTGGCCTTCCCACATTTTTTCAACATTTAATTTCACCAGAATGGAGGAAACAATGACTTTGCTGCTTGCCCACTTTGTTCTCCAAGGACTTGTGTGTCTTCAATGAGTGGTCATAACCATTTTTTGGTATAGTCAATAAATCATAGTTATTGAATCTTAGCATAGTAGACTGATCAGCCATAGTCTCAGAAAAGAGTTATCTAAGACTTCATAGTATCAGTTACAAAACAGCTTAATATTTGGATTGGAAAGCAAGTATTGTACACTGCTTATGTCCTAGTCCAATCCTCTTAAACAGTTCAGCTGAGAGTACATAACATGAGGTTTTCCTGCTGTTGTTAGATTATGGTTCCCTCCCTCCAACCTAGGTCATGCTGACTAGATTATCTAATTTGAAGTTTAACATCTTCCAGATCATTTGAGATTTATATGTATATAAATGTATCCCTCCAATTTTAATTAATGTTTGAATATTAAACATTATTGAAACAAGAAGTAGTTTTTCAAACCTAAATTTGTGATACAGCTTTAATACCTATTAGCAGAAACATCAAATCTAGCAAAAGACAGAGCTTATGAATAAACTTCAACCTTCCTTAACTGCATATTGAGGGTAATATTTATATTTAAAACAAACAATGTATCAGGTAAATGTGATAGAAAAGATTTGATCCCTTTCCTTTTGACCCAAGGGTTTCCTTCTCCAATGTATATAAAATAAAGGTGTTTGAGCTCATGCTCCCTAGAACCCTGTCCACTTCCTCAGCAGTAGCACAGTGAAACTATTCCAGATAACTGGATAAGAATCTGTCCTGGTGCCTCCATCAGACCAGCAACTATGCTGGTATCTTTACTGGGAATGAAGCTGAGTGATTTTGTCTTTTAGAAAATCAGTGGATTCCTTGGCAAGCTCCTTCAGATAGACCTCTGTATCCTCCTTCCCAGAAGGACATGACTCACATTAAATAGGGCCACTGACAGTTTTGCTGTAAGCTTGATTTCTGTATTGGTTGGCTATTGACTCAAAGAAAGCAAAACAAGGCAGCTAAATTTTTATTTATAACTTATAAGTTATGTTTTCAACTTGTAACAATTATATTTTTATTTCCTAGGAACAAGATATATATATATATATACATATATATATATATATATATATATATATATATATATATATA